AGAAAATTATAAAATAAATATATATTTTTTTCTGTGAAAGGGGCTAAGTGGAAAGTACAAATAATTAATGAAAAAGTAAAAAATCATTAAAAAAAATAATAATAATTTACACCGACCCTGCCACCCCTGTCATCTGATGATTTGAATGAACATGTGTGCGTGGCACGTTTATGTAAAACGGGTAGGAGGGGGAGTTCTACAAAAAAAACTGTAGTGCAGCTGGTGGTGTGAATGCCGCCTAAATGGCAGACTGTGGTACTGGACTGAGTGACCGTTCTGTCCGAACCACAAATCAGACCACTGCTCGATCAACATTTTACTCACCAGACGTCCTTTATATTTATATTCCCTACTCCTGCTGTATAGTATTCCTCTTTGCTCCTTCCCTGGCAGCAACATAAAAAAGGAGGGTGAGGGGAGGGGCAGATGAGCTGGACCAGCACAGACAGTAATTAGAGACTCCTGGAAGGGCTATGATGTACAAGGAGCGAGAAGGCTGTGCTAGGGAAATTATACATCCTGAAATGGTAAAAATTCAGAGACACGTTGGAAAGGAAAGTTGCTGCAAGTAAGCATTTAAAATACTTACATTTTCTGTGCTTTTCCCTGAATTTTTTTTAGTTTGTTTACAGTAAAAGCAACAGAATTCGGATGTAAATAATTTCACAAATTACCAAACATTGTGCAAGTGTTTTAAAAACGTTGTTCCTTTGTATAACCTGTAACTATGTAGATGTTACATATCTGTATCTGTTGATCTGCGCTTATAGATAAAAACTCTCTAACGTGGGTGACAAAGCTGCCACAATACAGACAAACCAGTCATAAATATGAGTAGTAATTGTGCGGCGCTAAGTACTCTGGTGTACACTAATATATTGTATATTAAATACAAATCTATATACAATACTTATTAAGGAATATAATTTTTCACTATTAAGTGTGCAAATTAAAAATTGTGCAAAACAAAAGTGAACAAGATAGCAATAGCAGACACACTATAGATTGCATTAGCTGTGATGTCCGATAGGTCAATGCGGAAGTGAGGACGGGAAGCTCGTGAGATACCGGCCGGCTTTTATGTACACTGAGTGGCCAGATTATTATGACCACCTGACGTTTTTAGGCAAATTAGCTATAATTTGGCGCTGAAGTTGCTAGAGGGCCAGACCATTATAAATAGGGAAGCAGGCTGTTTACCACGACAGTAGAAGTGATTTGTTTCTGAAGATACGGGGAAACAACGCGATTTAACAGCCTTTGAACGTGGGATGATTGTTGGCGCTCGGAGCCATGGAGCGAGTATCCGCAAAACAGCAGAATTCGTTAAATGTTCAAGAGCAGCTGTTGTTAAAGTGTCTAAAGACCGGACTGTCAGCCGAAAATCTGGGTCTGAACGTGCGAATTGCGGCCGTCAGCGACTAGTCAATGTTAGGGCAGAACGGAGAGTGGCAAGGCAGGTACAAGACAACAGAAGGGCGAAAGTGCAGTGTCAGATTCCTCGCATCACCTTTCAACGTCTCGTGGAGTCACGAGGCGGCCCAACGAAGTACTGATGAGGTGGTCATAATAATCAGGCCACACAGTGTATTTACTTGTGTTTACCAATAAAACATTGGGAATATATTACACCATGAGGAGTTCCTTTTGATTTTTACTACATGTGAAACGTCATTAGTTAACATATGGGAGAAAACGCTGGGGCCCTTCCATCTAATACCGACTTCAGGTTACCTAAAAAGTTCAAAACGACATATGTGCGGTGAGTGCGCATTGCCCGGGGGGCTTCGTGTGTGGCACTAGGGGGATTCACAAGCACAAGCACTTTACACGTTTTGGATTGGATGATCGATTATGAATATATATTGACTTTATCACTTATATAACTCTATGAATTGTGTTTTCGATGGCTATTCATATATGGAGTCACTATTTATCACTATGTAAGTGTATATCTGGATGGTTTTATATCCAGTCCACGGTTATATCAATAAAGTAAGTCACTCGCACTCCATGATATTAAAGTCAATGCTGTTTATTGACTGAGATAACACACATCTCCTTAGCAGGCTAAGGAGGCTAAGGAGATAAGTGTTATCTCAGTCAATAAACAGCATTGACTTTAATATCATGGAGTGCGAGTGATTACTTTAATCTATCTACATTTGATGGAGGCATCCGTTGTCACCACCGCACCCACCCAGTTGGATTTGGGTTTTTGTCCGGTCAGGAGTGCGATGGGACAGGAGGATTAAGTTTCACGGTTATATCAAGTCACATCAATCTATAGTGTGTCTGCTATTGCGATACACTATCTTGTTCACTTTTGTTTTGCACAATTTTTTAATTAGTACACTTATTAAGGAATATAATTTGTCACTATTTATTAAGTATTGTATATAGATTTGTATTTAATATACAATATATTAGTGTACAGCAGGGTACTTAGCGCCGCACAATTACTATACATATTATATATGTAGGCTGTGCTTCTAACAATGTCAGTCTATGACTGGGCCCATTCAAACCTTTGCTCATTGTTCAACATTCAAGGTAGAGGGACGGGTTCTGTGGATAGCCAACCCCTGATAACTAGATATTAAGTCACAGTATCAAACCACACTATCCCCCATTACCACCACAGCTGATTGACTACACTGCTCAGTAGTGATGTGTGGGGGCTTGGAGTGTACCCAGTTTGCTGAAAGTTGGCCAAAGCTTATGCAGTTGCGGCCAGGACTTCCCCTGCCTCAAAGTTACACGTTACAAAGGGGAGGGCAAGGCCCCTGATTGGGCCGAGAGGGGGGTGTGTCAATTACTGTTTTATGAGAGTTTTAGCTAACTTTGACAAACTGGGCGCACCAAACCTCTGCACAGCACTACTGAGCAGTATGGTCTGTTCGACGATGCTGCTCAGTAGTGAGGGGAGAGGGGGGGGGGCGCTGTCCACTATGCTACCTCTGCTACCACAGCATGGATCAGAACGGTACCAAGTGCCACATGCACTTGGTTTCCTGGGGTATTCAATAAAGATTTTTAACTGGTAAAACCTCACCTTTAATTTCCCCTCCCCCGATATCTTGAGATCGAAGTGACAGCACACCTGGAGACAAGGGAGTGGTGACAGCGCCATCCTTCCCGACAGCAGGATCAGTGGAGCCTGTCAGTGCAACGCTCCTGTGTATGTGTTTATGTTCATAGGGAACACATACACAGGACTGTCGGAAGCAGCTGGCAGAGAGGAGAAATGATACACTATGTACTTGCTGGAGGCTGCGGGGACCAGTCTAGCAGCGCTTTGGGGTGGTATATTTTCTTTATTTTAGACCCTAGACCAAAATGAGCAACTAACCCCACTGCAAGGATTACGTTTTATTCTGCCCGGGGTTCTTCTTTCAATGATTCTCTGTGCTATCTAGTGTGCTTTAGTTCGCCCCTTAATACCTACTCATCAGCAAGAACATGGTGGGGCCCAGAGCTTTATACCCTCCCTCCCACGATGCTGTGCATGACACCTGAACAGCCATATCCACATGACCAGAAACAAGTTAAAATTAGAGGTGCACCGAAATTGATATTTTTACTATAACTACAATCATGAATGGTTGGGAGCAATAACCATCCTGCCATTGGGTATTTCAAATAGCAATAGCCAATAGCTGGCTGAATGTTGCAACCTCTAATGTTTGCTGTGCTTACAATCAGCTCCCGGCGGCATAATCTTGCTGCCGGCAGCTGTCATTTACTTGGTTCCAGCCTGGACGTCTGCTGCACTGCGGAGGTAACTCCGCTCCCCCACATCACCCCATTCCCAAGACCATCCCACTCACACCCCACCATCTCCCGCTGGCCGCTCCGCAGCCTCCGCCAGCTCCGCTTCCCCCTCTACTATTTAACAGAGGTAAACTGCAGTGACTGAAAACAATAGCAAACCTGCTATTGGCCATTTCAAAATGCATTAGCCAATCGCAGGTTGGCTATTGGACCGGCCCACTGTCTGCTATCAGTCAGCAGAGGAGTGGACCTGAAGGAGAACTTACTCATTCAGGTCCGCTCCTCTGTTAAATGGTATACGGGGAAGCGGAGCGAGCAGAGGCAGCGGAGATGGTGAGGTGTGATTGGGGGGGGTCTTGGGAATGGGGTGATGTGGGGGAGCATCAGGTCAGTCCGAGTGGGGTCTGCGCAGAGTCACAGCAGGTGGCGGGGGCTTCAGATTAGTGGGCAGTGTTTGGAGCTTGTACTGTGGGCGGGCAGGAGAGGTGGGTTATTATCGGCAAATTTTTTGTTGTTTCGGCATTTCCCCAAAAGAGCTATTTTCGGCCGATATGCATCGTTCTCCCATATATCGGCGCTTCCCTAGTTAAAATCTCCCCGATTTTAACAGACAGCAATAAAAGTCAAACAGGAGCTCTAACCCTTCCCCACTCTATCCAAAACTAAATAAAATGCTTTCAACTCTAAATATTTGGGGCTTTAATGGAGTCCATACCTCCCACTCCTTCATAAATAGTTTGGCTTCTGCAGGACTGACATGTTTGTGTCTTCTGAATTCCTCCTTCACGTACTGGTCTCCCAGAGCTTTTAGATGGAGGGGCAAAGTGCGGTGGAGGAGGAAGATCTTCTTGTAGAGGGTCCTCACCTGGGACACGTGAGAAGACATCCCCGCCGAGGTCTACAGAGAGAACATTAGGGACACCAGTCAAACATGAAAACAAACAGTATTTTCAAGCAGTTATGATGATATAGTGTGCTAATCCTTGGTTCCGCCATGGTCCCCAGTGCTACATGACCATTATACTGTTGTGGTTCAACAAAACTGTCGAAACTGTTGTTTTTCACTCTATTCCTTCACAATGCATCCTGTGCCTAGCAATCATGTCTTCACTATGTTGTTAAAATAAAGGCTTCCCGAACTTCCATTTCACCTGAACAGCTGCCACTGCTTCCTCCCTTATGCAGGGTGACCGGTGGTGTAATACTGTAGTCCAAACTCTGCAGCGCTACATAGAGTAGTTGGATCCTTCTGCAGATCCTCCAGTTTTTCCTTTTCCACAA